AAAAAAAAAAAAAAAAAAAAAAAAAAAAAAAAAATTTAAACCCAAAAAAAAAAAAAAAAAAAAAAAAAAAAAAAAAAAAAAAAAAAAAAAAAAAAAAAAAAATTAAATTAAAAATATTATTAAATTTTTTTTTTTTTTTTTTGGAAAAAATTTTTTTTTTTTTTTTTTTTTTTTAATTTTTTTTTTTTTTTTTTTTTTTTTTTTTTTTTTTTTTTTTTTTGGCTGCGACCTTCCCTCATAACATCGTTTTTTTCCGGATTTTTTGGATTTGTTTTTTTTTTTGGCTGGGACCTTCCCTGGTCCTTGCACGACCGGGCTGCCCGAAAAAATAGGGTGGCCCGGGCGGCCCCGCTGGTAGCCTAGGTCTATTGCTGGGGAGCTGCACCTGCTGGAAACAGGGTCCAGCGTCCCCTTTTCAACATTAATTGCAATTTGACTGCCTCTTCGCCCATGGAGCAACTGGAACACCTATTAGGGAGGCATTATATGCTTCGCATGTACTGCATGGCTGCACAAGCAATGAATTCTTGAAAGTAGACTTTAAATACCCACGACAAAACGGATAATTGGGTATACGTGAGCAAGACATATAAGAGTTGATGCGATCAATAATGTTCTCTTCATTTAAATGGGTGTTTCCTTATAGGGAAAACTACGGTAGGGTGCAGTCAAGGTTAGGTTTTCAGTTGTAAAAAAAGCGTTGCAGTCACAATTTCGCAGATTTTTACTCCGAGGAAAATCGTGAGGGTATCCAACACAGCTTCAGGGCTGGGTGGGGATGTGTTGTATTCGAGGGACTCCTGAAGTGGATTTAGAACGGAAAACGTGGCTGCGCCGTAATTGCGCCTTCTTTATTATATCTTATTAGAACGCATAAGCATTGTATTCGTTAGCAATACATACTCGATTCTGTTCGTCTGGATGGCACACACTGTGCATCGTACTGCAAGGCCTTGGGAGCTCACAATGGAGTCAGTCCCCTGCTTTTCACACTGACAATATACCCAATCGGTTGGTAGGACTGGACCGCAGGGGCAGTACGAGTCCCCTTTTTATGTGGTTACCTTCTCTGAGTTGAGTTGTTAGGACTCTTTAGACAGAAAATGTCGAAAAAGACAATCCAGCAGGACCAGCACATGTAACTGAATGATGGATGATACACTACCACACACATGCAACTGTTAATTACCAGATTGCGATTTCGAGTCCTCTTTGGGCTTTCATGGATATGATAGGGTTAGGGTAAGGGTTATGGGTACTAACTTTAAAAGTTTAAAAGTTTAAAAGTTCAAACCAAACCACTGCTACCTTTCACAGACAAACTTTTGCGACAAAGTTGCCTACTTCCGAATTCTTCGGGGCTTGACCACCTGGGTCCGCCTTTGGCTGGTGGCAGCGGCCAAAAAGTGAAGGAAAAAAAACGCACCATGAACTTGGCACACAACACAAATCTGCCACAGGAAAAAGAGGCTCAGAGGTAGTGGGAGGAGGTTTAAAAAGAAAAAGACGAAACAACAACAAAACGCAGCCATGATTTACCCTCCAACTAGAGGTGGAGTTTCGCATAGGCAGTGAGTTCATTCTCGAAAGCGTAAAACACTGCATGTGTGTAGAGAGAGAGAGAGAGAGAGAGAGAGAGAGAGAGAGAGAGAGAGAGAGAGAGAGAGAGAGAG